CCTCCATTTTTTTTAAGTTCTTAAACTTGTAGTTAAAGCTTTTTTTCACTAAGGATTGAAGGAAACTCGCCTGGTGCTATCAAACATGTTGGTCCAAAGGTTTCTAATAGCTGAAAAACAGTTAACAAGCATTTTCCAAAAATGATTAGAAAAGGGAGTATGCAAATTTAGAGTTCTTTCAAAGGTGCTGACTGTGGTTTGAGCAAGATGGCTATTCCTTCATCTCTCAGAGCTCTAAACCCCCCAGAGACCTTGTGAGGAGCAACTATCTGGAGCACTTGTGGGCGATCTCAGGTCCTCTCCTTGTCCAGAGAGATTCAAAGAGGCGGTCTACTTGCCCAGCTCTTCATTCTTTGCTGCGGTCGTCAGCTCCACTTTTCCAGAGTTGTTTTCAGTCTGCCATTTCTTCCTCCTGTTGTCAGTTTCTCATGAGAATATGGATCAGATTCAAACTTACTTCCTAACAATTTCCAACTATATGTTTTGCAACCTTTAATGCAGGAAATAGAATTTATTTTTGAGAAAACTAGAGCCAGTCACCCACCCGAACAACAAAGGAGACAGTTATTTAATAACTTCCTAAATGTGCTCATAAGATTTTAAGAAGAATCACTTAAAATTTCATGAATAAATGCAGTCAAGGATCAAACTGTAAATATGGCAAGTTAAAATCTCATTCTTCATGAGAAAGTTGTAGTTTAAAAAGAGAACACGTGGGCATCTGTCCACCCCACAAGCACTTTCTCTGTATCCTGTCAATCTGTTTAAAAAACTTGAACAGATATTAACATAGATATTGAAAACATGTCTTTGACTAGATATGACATTTTAACAACAGTTCTTCTCTCCAGGAACTTACAGGCAATTTAACAATCCATTAATATCAAGATTAGTCTGATATAAACAATTGGAAACAATTATCTTTACAAATATAGAGTTCTTATCAAGAATAATTAATTCTAAGGTATTTAAAGGAATTCAAGCTAAGATTTTCATAGATATTTGAGATCCTAAAGGAAATATTTGTTTAAAATTCTAGTTCATTAAATAATCTGAATGTTTATTAAATTCTTACTAAATCTGTAATTTTTGTTAGAGAACACAATCATCCAAAAGACATAAAATATTTAGGTTATAACAGCAATTTGTGTTTAATAGTGTCCACTTTAAAACTCAAAATGTCTTTCAGTTGTTTGAAACAGACCAAGTTTCAAAGGTCAAATTAAATATAAAAGAAGATAGACATATTTCATGAATTCCATAAAAGGTCTTGATGGGTGAAGAAAAAATTCTGTTTGTAATAACCTTGGCACATGATTTGGAATACCCTATTTTCTCCAGTTGATAATCATAAGAGGAAATGTATATTTAGCTGAGGTGTATTCAACAAATTTATTGCAAAGATATGGCATTCATTGAAATGAATGCTGCTAAACCTAGTAGCTTCTCTGATAGATAGTATATTTAATATATAATTTAATAATTTGATATTATTTGATGCTTAAAGCCTTTTTTTAAAAACCTGGGATGTGGTTTGTGTTCTGGACCTTATATTGGGAATTTTCTTCATTATTCTGGTGACCCTGATCAGTGGTTGATCATATCTCAGAAGAAACATTTCTGTCACAAAGGAATATTCTGTCTAATGATTTGTCAGTATACATGATCTTTCAGTTAGGCTAATATAATATGCAGTCATGGCTACAATTCTATAAATACTTACTTGGCAATAAGTCTGAGGGAAGCAAACATAGCACTAGGTTATTAAATATAATTTTTTTTCAGTTAATTCTTGGCATTGTCTGATCAGAGAACAATAATTAATCCCCTCTCACATTGTCTATGCATATGGAAGTACAGTGGGGCAAAAAAGTATTTAGTCAGCCACCAATTGTGCAAGTTCTCCCACTTAAAAAGAT